TGTAGAACGTGATAAATCAGTGGCATCTGCATCTACAGAACGTGAAGAACCAGTGGAATCTACATCTACAGAACGTGAATAACCAGTGGCATCTGCATCTACAGAACGTGAAGAACCAGTGGCATCTACATCTGCAGAACGTGAAGGACCAGTGGCATCTACATCTGTAGAACGTGAAGAACCAGTGGCATCTACATCTACAGGAAGTGAAGAACCAGTGGCATCTACATCTGCAGAACGTGAAGAACCAGTGGCATCTACATCAGCAGAACGTGAAGAACCAGTGGCATCTACATCTGCAGAACGTGAAGAACCAGTGGCATCTACATCTACATAACGCGAAGAACCAGTGGCATCTACATCTGCAGAACGTGAAGAACCAGTGGCATCTACAGAAAGTGAAGATCCAGTGGCATTTACATCTGTAGAACGTGTAGAACCAGTGGCATCTAGATCAGAACGTGAAGAACCAGTGGCATCTACATCTGCAGAACATGAATAACCAGTGGCATCTACAGAACGTGAAAAAACAGTGGCATCTGCATCTGTAGAACGTGAACAACCAGTGGCATCTACATCTACAGAACGTGATAAAACAGTGGTATCTACATCTGCAGAACGTGAAGAACCAGTGGCATCTACATCTACAGAACGTGAAGAACCAGTAGCATCTACATCTGCAGAACATGAATAACCAGTGGCATCTACAGAACGTGAAAAAACAGTGGCATCTGCATCTGTAGAACGTGAACAACCAGTGGCATCTACATCTACAGAACGTGAAGAACCAGTGGCATCTACATCTGCAGAACGTGAAGAACCAGTGACATCTACATCTACAGAACGTGAAGAACCAGTAGCATCTACATCTACAGAACGTGAAGAACCAGTGGCATCTACATCTACAGAACATGAATAACCAGTGACGTCTACATCTACAGAACGTGACGAACCAGTGGCATCTACATCTGTAGAACGTGATAAATCAGTGGCATCTGCATCTACAGAACGTGAAGAACCAGTGGAATCTACATCTACAGAACGTGAATAACCAGTGGCATCTGCATCTACAGAACGTGAAGAACCAGTGGCATCTACATCTGCAGAACGTGAAGGACCAGTGGCATCTACATCTGTAGAACGTGAAGAACCAGTGGCATCTGCAAATTATGAAGAACCAGTGGCATCTACATCTGCAGAACGTGAAGAACCAGTGGCATCTACATCTGCAGAACGTGAAGAACCAGTGGCATCTACATCTGCAGAACGTGAAGAACCAGTGGCATCTACATCTACATAACGCGAAGAACCAGTGGCATCTACATCTGCAGAACGTGAAGAACCAGTGGCATCTACAGAAAGTGAAGATCCAGTGGCATTTACATCTGTAGAACGTGTAGAACCAGTGGCATCTAGATCAGAACGTGAAGAACCAGTGGCATCTACATCTGCAGAACATGAATAACCAGTGGCATCTACAGAACGTGAAAAAACAGTGGCATCTGCATCTGTAGAACGTGAACAACCAGTGGCATCTACATCTACAGAACGTGATAAAACAGTGGTATCTACATCTGCAGAACGTGAAGAACCAGTGGCATCTACATCTACAGAACGTGAAGAACCAGTGGCATCTACATCTACAGAACGTGAAGAACCAGTGGCATCTACATCTGTAGAACGTGAAGAACCAGTAGCATCTACATCTGCAGAACATGAATAACCAGTGGCATCTACAGAACGTGAAAAAACAGTGGCATCTGCATCTGTAGAACGTGAACAACCAGTGGCATCTACATCTACAGAACGTGAAGAACCAGTGGCATCTACATCTGCAGAACGTGAAGAACCAGTGACATCTACATCTACAGAACGTGAAGAACCAGTAGCATCTACATCTACAGAACGTGAAGAACCAGTGGCATCTACATCTACAGAACGTGAAGAACCAGTGGCATCTACATCTACAGAACGTGAAGAACCAGTGACATCTACATCTACAGAACGTGAAGAACCAGTAGCATCTACATCTACAGAACGTGAAGAACCAGTGGCATCTACATCTACAGAACGTGAAGAACCAGTGGCATCTACATCTACAGAACGTGAAGAACCAGTGGCATCTACATCTACAGAACGTGAAGAACCCGTGGCATCTACATCTGCAGAATGTGACGAACCAGTGGCATCTACAGGAGATTATAGAACTTTAAAAGCCATTCTCTGTGTTTAGAGCAGATGCCATAACAACAAGTTTGGAATCGACAGGGGCAACGTTCGATCACGTGAACAAATCGACGTGCGGAACAATGAGCTCCACGTGTTCAATTGTAATTAGTATGCCTTGATTAATCGATTTAGCAAGCCGTTTTGTGTATATACAGTGAGGGAAAAAAGTATTTGATCCCCTGCTGATTTTGTACGTTTGCCCACTGACAAAGAAATGCTTAGTCTTTAATTTTAATGGTAGGTTTATTTGAACAGTGAGAGACAGAATAACAACAACAAAATCCAGAAAAACGCATGTCAAAAATGTTCTAAATTGATTTGCATTTTAATGAGGGAAGTAAGTATTTGACCCCCTCTCAATCAGAAAGATTTCTGTCTCCCAGTTGTCTTTTATACAGGTAACGAGCTGAGATTAGGAGCTGAGATTAGGATAACTCAATTTAAGAGTGTGCTCCTAATCTCAGCTCGCTACCTGTATAAAAGACACCTGGGAGCCAGAAATCTTTCTTATTGAGAGGGGGTCAAATGCTTAGTTCCCTCATTAAAATGCAAATCAATTTATAACACTTTTGACATGCGTCTTTCTGGATCGAGGTCTCTAAACGGACGCGGCACGGGCTAGAGAAGAGATGGAGTGATGTGGTGCAGGAGGACGTGGAGCTGAGTGGACTTGCCGATGACCGGTACCAGCGGTGTCAAGATCGGCCTCTGTGGAGGAGGCTCGTGAAGGACGCTACTGGGCAGTTGGAGGCAGTCGCCCTCCAACAACAACGGAGGGCGGAGGAGCGACGCTCACAACAACGAGCGGAGCGCCGGGTGGCTAAAGCACAGCAGGTTGGCACAGTAGGGGGCACAGGTGGTGCATCAGCCAGTCATCTCAGTCAGTCGACCCGTGGCACCTGCTGGGTCTGCCCCGTGACCTCCTGCCAGCGGGCGTTCGACACTTCACGTGGCCTCAAGGTGCACATAGCCTGGCACAAGCGTCGTGGTGACGTCACCGCCACTTAGTGGCGAATGGCGGTTGTTGTTGTTCAGTCTGTGTGTGTCTGTGTGAGTCGATATGTGTGTGTAACTCTGTGTGTTTGAGTCGATTTGTGTGTGTAACTACATGTGTCTCTCAAGTCCATGTCTGTGTGTGTGAGTCCACATGTGTTTGCGTGTGTGTAAGTCGGTGGGTTTCTATGTGTATGGGTCCATGTCTGTTTGTAAGTCCGTGTGTGTGTGTGTCTGCCTCTTTTTCGCCCGGGCAATGCCGTAAATAAATATGGGCAACACGTTCTACTTAAATTTTTATTTAAAGCGTTCGTGACTGCAGTGATTCATATTCTTGGATCTTTCGGTAAAGTCCACCACCACGTTAGAAAGGAAACAATAAAATAATAACATTATTATTCTTGGTTCTTTCGGTAAAGTCCACCACGTTAGAAAGGAAACAATAAAATAATAAAAATGTAAAACAATAAAATTATTATTCTTGGTTCTTTCGGTAAAGTCACCGCCACGTTAGAAGGGAAACAATAAAATAATAAACATATTAAACAATAAAATTATTGTAAAACAATAAAATTATTATTCTTGGTTGTTTCGGTAAAGTCACCACCACGTAGAAGGGAAACAATGAAATAATAAAAATATAAAACAATAAAATTATTATTCTTGGTTCTTTCGGTAAAGTCACCACCACGTTAGAAGGGAAACAATAAAATAATAAAAACATAAATTATTATTTTATTGTTTCCCTTCTACGTGACTTTGCCGAAAGACCCAAGGACACGAATTAAATAGACTTGTTAATAAATGTTTTCTCCTACAACATCACATTAAGTACGCACTACAATGGCAATAGTTTAAAGAGATTTCAAGCATGTTTTATAGTTTTTTTTGGGGGGGGGGGTAGGGAGCAGAGCTTTGTGACGTCATATTTGAGGGTGTGACGTCACGCTCATTAATATTAATGAGGGGGGCTGGTCCATGTGGAGTGACATCACGACATTCCTGGGCGATTATAAGCGGTGCCGCGAGTGGGCGTGGCGTCAAAGTGAGTGGGCGTAGCGCTGGCGATAGTGGGGGCGTGGCGCTAGCGGGGGAGTAGGCGTGGCGCTAGTGGGCGTGCGCGTGGTTCTGGCGAGGGTGGGCGTGGCCGCTGGACGGAGTGGGCGTGGCAGAATGCAACGTGTTGTATTGGTCCACGCCTTCCGAGAATGGGCGTGGCCAAGCGACTCCCTGGTTGTCGTTTGGCCTTATTGGTCGACGCGGTCGATGGGGCGGAGCCAAGTGTTGGGGGCGTGGCCTTGCTGTGTAAATGGGGTAGGACATCGGGCGCCTCCTATTGGTCAATTTACATGAGACAGACAGTAGGTGGGCGTGGCGGCGTAAGCCTGTGAGTGAAAAGGCGGGGCTAGTCGACTAAGTGGGCGTGAGAAAAAAAACTATCCGGAGCCTCTGATTGGTCTGCGTTGGCTGATGGACGTGGCTTGATGAGATGGGAGGGGGGAGGGGATTTTAAGTGGGCGTGACCAAAATTAATCTGTAGCCGCTGATTGGTCGGCGTGCTCGATGGGCGTGACCATAGGGATAAGGATGGGCGTAACTATAGGGATTAAGGATGGGTGTTGACTACAGGGATAAGGATGGGCGTGACTAAAATCAATACAGAACCGCTGATTTGCCGATGTGATAAATGGGCGTAACTAACGAGTTGGAAGGCGTGACCAAAATCAATCCGTAGCAAGTGATTGGTCGTTGTGGGTGATGGACGTTCCTGGTGGGCGTTGCTGGACGAAGGGAGGGGCGTGGTCAGGCGAGAGGGGGCGTGGCGAGGCCTGCTGGCTTCCTGGCTCGCTACAAGCAGAAGCAGCGGCGGCGGCGGCGTTGGTGGTGAGGGTGGTGAGGGTGAGGGTGGTGGTGGTGAGGGTGGTGAGGGTGGTGGTGAGGGTGGTGGTGGTGAGGGTGGTGGTGGTGAGGGTGGTGGTGGTGGTGGTGTGGGTGGTGGTGGTGGTGGTGAGGGTGGTGGTGGTGGTGAGGGTGGTGGTGAGGGTGGTGGTGAGGGTGGTGGTGAGGGTGGTGGTGAGGGTGGTGGTGGTGAGGGTGGTGGTGGTGGTGGTGAGGGTGGTGGTGGTGAGGGTGGTGGTGGTGAGGGTGGTGGTGGTGGTGGTGAGGGTGGTGGTGGTGGTGGTGAGGGTGGTGGTGGTGGTGAGGGTGGTGGTGAGGGTGGTGGTGAGGGTGGTGGTGAGGGTGGTGGTGAGGGTGGTGGTGGTGAGGGTGGTGGTGGTGAGGGTGGTGGTGGTGGTGGTGAGGGTGGTGGTGGTGGTGGTGAGGGTGGTGGTGGTGAGGGTGGTGGTGGTGAGGGTGGTGGTGGTGGTGGTGAGGGTGGTGGTGGTGGTGGTGAGGGTGGTGGTGGTGAGGGTGGTGGTGGTGAGGGTGGTGGTGGTGGTGGTGAGGGTGGTGGTGGTGGTGGTGAGGGTGGTGGTGGTGGTGGTGAGGGTGGTGGTGGTGGTGAGGGTGGTGGTGGTGGTGAGGGTGGTGGTGAGGGTGGTGGTGAGGGTGGTGAGGGTGGTGGTGGTGAGGGTGGTGGTGGTGGTGGTGAGGGTGGTGGTGGTGAGGGTGGTGGTGGTGGTGAGGGTGGTGGTGGTGAGGGTGGTGGTGGTGAGGGTGGTGGTGGTGGTGGTGAGGGTGGTGGTGGTGGTGGTGAGGGTGGTGGTGGTGGTGGTGCGGGTGGTGGTGGTGGTGAGGGTGGTGGTGGTGGTGAGGGTGGTGGTGAGGGTGGTGGTGAGGGTGGTGAGGGTGGTGGTGGTGAGGGTGGTGGTGGTGGTGGTGAGGGTGGTGGTGGTGAGGGTGGTGGTGGTGGTGAGGGTGGTGGTGGTGAGGGTGGTGGTGGTGAGGGTGGTGGTGGTGGTGAGGGTGGTGGTGGTGGTGAGGGTGGTGGTGGTGGTGAGGGTGGTGGTGGTGGTGAGGGTGGTGGTGGTGGTGAGGGTGGTGGTGGTGGTGAGGGTGGTGGTGGTGGTGAGGGTGGTGGTGGTGGTGAGGGTGGTGGTGGTGGTGAGGGTGGTGGTGGTGGTGAGGGTGGTGGTGGTGGTGAGGGTGGTGGTGGTGGTGAGGGTGGTGGTGGTGGTGAGGGTGGTGGTGGTGGTGAGGGTGGTGGTGGTGGTGAGGGTGGTGGTGGTGGTGAGGGTGGTGGTGGTGGTGAGGGTGGTGGTGGTGGTGAGGGTGGTGGTGGTGGTGAGGGTGGTGGTGGTGGTGAGGGTGGTGGTGGTGGTGAGGGTGGTGGTGGTGGTGGTGGTGAGGGTGGTGGTGGTGAGGGTGGTGGTGGTGAGGGTGGTGGTGGTGGTGGTGAGGGTGGTGGTGAGGGTGGTGGTGGTGAGGGTGGTGGTGGTGAGGGTGAGGGTGGTGAGGGTGAGGGTGGTGGTGAGGGTGGTGGTGGTGGTGAGGTTGGTGGTGAGGGTGGTGGTGGTGAGGGTGGTGGTGGTGGTGGTGAGGGTGGTGGTGGTGGTGAGGGTGGTGGTGGTGAGGGTGGTGGTGGTGAGGGTGGTGGTGGTGAGGGTGGTGGTGGTGAGGGTGAGGGTGGTGAGGGTGAGGGTGGTGGTGGTGAGGGTGGTGGTGGTGAGGGTGGTGGTGGTGAGGGTGAGGGTGGTGAGGGTGAGGGTGGTGGTGAGGGTGGTGGTGAGGGTGGTGGTGGTGGTGAGGGTGGTGGTGGTGAGGGTGGTGGTGAGGTTGGTGGTGAGGGTGGTGGTGGTGAGGGTGGTGGTGGTGAGGGTGGTGGTGGTGAGGGGTGGTGGTGGTGGTGAGCGGTGGTGGTGAACGGTGGTGGTGTTGGTTGTGGTGGTGGTGAGGGTGATGGTGGTGACGGTAGTGGTGATCGTAAAGGTGGTGGTATGTGTGAGTGTATTTTTGTGTTTGTGTATCTGTTGCTCAACCACGTTATGTATGCCGATTATTTGGTAATAGCTGCTCATTCAGAGGAGGAGTTGGAGACGCTGCTGCTGAGACTGGAGCGTGCCACTAAGAGTTGTGGGGCCTTACCATCAGCCCCACCAAAACTAAGCACCTGCCTGGGTATTTTGTACCATCGGACACTCCACCCCCACAACTCCCAATCGGTGATGGGGCAGTTGTGGAGAGAGTGGAGAGTTTCCCATACCTGGGCAGTGTGCTTATGACTGGCTCCAGTTTAACAGCAGAGGTCTCACTCCGAATCAGTCGAGCAGCAATATCTTTTCATCGGTTGCGTAACGCTGTGTGGAAGCTACCTGGTCTGTCGCTCCGCACTAATCTTCAGGTCTTCTCGGCCACGGTCATTCCCTCCCTTTTCTACGCTTGCGAAACGTGGACCCCCCTAATGGAACATCTTCGCCGGTTAGAAACATTTAGGCTGGCCTGCCTATGATCCATCCTAGGTTTAACCAGACTGGATTGTGTGAGGAGCTCACAAATCCTTGAAAGATCTGGGCAGGGTCCCATCGGTGAGCTCCTCCGGCAGGCAAGGCTGCGATGGCTGGGTCATGTAGCCCGCATGCCCAGCCACCGCATGCCGAAACAGCTTTTGTTCGGCCGGATCGAGGGGGCTAAGCGGGCGCGGCACGGGCTAGAGAAGAGATGGAGTGATGTGGTACAGGAGGACGTGGAGCTGAGTGGACTTGCCGATGACCGGTACCAGCAGAGGAGGAGCGACGCTCACAACAACGAGCGGAGCGCCGGGTGGCTAAAGCACAGCAGGTTGGCACTGTAGGGGGCACAGGTGGTGCATCAGCCAGTCATATCAGTCAGTCGACCCGTGGCACCTGGGTCTGCCCAGTGACCTCCTGCCAGCGGGCGTTCGACACTTCACGTGGCCTCAAGGTGCACATGGCCTGGCACAAGCGTCGTGGTGACGTCACCGCCACTTAGTGGCGAATGGCGGTTGTTGTTGTGTGTGTCTCTGTGTGTGTGTCTCTGTGTATGTGTCTGTGTGTGTGTATCTCTACGTGTATGTGTGTGTCTCTGTGTGTGTGTCTGTGCGTGTTTCTGTGTGTCTGTGTGTGTATCTCTACGTGTATGTGTGTGTCTCTGTGTGTGTGTGTCTGTGTGTGTCTCTGTGTGTGTCTGTGTTTCTGTGTGTGTGTATCTCTACGTGTATGTGTGTGTCTCTGTGTGTGTATCTCTACGTGTATGTGTGTGTGTCTGTGTGTGTTTCTGTGTGTGTGTATCTCTATGTGTCTGTGTGTGTCTCTGTGTGTGTGTGTCTGTGTGTGTCTCTGTGTGTATGTCTGTGTGTGTGTTTATCTCTACGTGTATGTGTGTGTCTCTGTGTGTTTGTCTGTGTGTGTGTATCTCTACGTGTATGTGTGTGTCTCTGTGTGTGTGTCTCTGTGTGTGTGTCTGTGTGTGTCTCTGTGTGTGTGTGTCTGTGTGTGTCTCTGTGTGTGTGTGTGTCTGTGTGTTTCTGTGTGTATGTCTGCGTGTGTAGCTCTGTTTAATGGCACATCTGCGCTGGTTAAGAACCTTCCGGCTGACACTGCGCTACGATCCAGCCTGGGTTTAACCTGCAGGCTTGGATTGTGTGAGGAGCTCACCAATCCTCGGTAGATCTCGACACAGTCCCATCGGTGAGCTCCTTTGGCAGGCTTCGGCCACGTTGGCTGGGTCATAGTGTAGTGTATAGTGTAGTGTAGTAGTAGTGTATAGTGTATCGTGTAGTATATAGTAGTGTAGTATATAGTAGTGTAGTGTATAGTGTAGTATATAGTAGTGTATATTGGAGTATATAGTAGTGTAAAGTGTAGTGTATAGTAGTTTGTAGTCTATAGTAGTATATAGTAGTGTGTAGTGTATAGTGTGGTGTATAGTGCAGTGTATAGTGTAGTGTATAGTGTAGTATATAGTGTGGTGTATAGTGCAGTGTGTAGTGTAGTGTATAGTGTAGTATATGGTGTGGTGTATAGTGCAGTGTATAGTGTAGTCTATAGTGTAGTATATAGTAGTGTATAGTGTAGTGTATAGTGTAGTGTATAGTGTAGTGTAGTGTATAGTGTAGTGTAGTGTATAGTGTAGTATATAGTGTGGTGTATAGTGTAGTATATAGTGTAGTCTATAGTGTAGTAGTATAGTATATAGTGTAGTGGGTTGGCTGGGTCACGGCAGCCTGTGTGCCCAGCCACCGCATGCCCAAGCAGCTTCTGTTTGGCCGCATAGAGGGGGCTAGACGGGCGTGGCACCGGCTGGAGAAGAGATGGGGTGGGTGAGTGAGTTGGTGGTTGGTGAGTGGATGTGTGAGTGTGGGTGGGTCTGTGACTGAGTGAGTGTGTGGGTGAGTGGTTGGGTGAGTGGATGAGTGGGTGAGTGAGTGGGTGAGTGAATGAGTGGGTGGGTGAGTGAGTGAGTGGGTGGGTGAGTGAGTGGTTGGGTGAGTGGGTGAGTGGGTGAGTGGGTGAGTGAGTGGGTGAGTGAGTGGGTGGGTGAGTGGGTGATTGAGTGAGTGAGTGGGTGATTGAGTGAGTGAGTGAGTGGGTGAGTGGGTGGGTGAGTGGGTGGGTGAGTGAGTGGGTGAGTGAGTGAGTGGGTGAGTGAGTGAGTGGTGAGTGGGTGGGTGAGTGAGTGGGTGAGTGCGTGAGTGGGCGTTTGGCACGGGCTAGATAAGAGATGGAGTGATGTGGTGCAGGAGGATGTGGAGCTGAGTGGACTTGCCGATGACCGGTACCAGCGGTGTTAAGATCGGCCTCTGTGGAGGAGGAGGTTTGCGAAGGACGCTGCTGCTACTGGGCAGTGCCAGGCTAGGTGCACAGTGAGGCGACTGGACAATCGGAGGCAGTCGCCTCTCCAGCAACAGCAACGGAGGGCGGAGTAGCGACGCTCACAACAACGAGCGGAGCGCCGGGCGGATAAAGCGCAGCGAGTTGGCACAGTAGGGGACACAGGTGGTGGTGGTGGTGGTGCATCTACCGCTCATCTCAGTCAGTCGACCCGTGGCACCTGCTGGGTCTGCCCCGTGACCTCCTCCTGCCAGCGGCGAGTGCCTTAGACACTTCACGTGGCAGCCTCAAAGTGCACCTAGCCTGGCACAGAGCGCCGTTGGTGACGCGACAGTTGCTCAGTGGCGAATGGCGGCTATTGGTGCTTGCCACACCTCTGTGTGTGTGTGTGTGTAGGCCACCGTGCCGGCCTTCGTAGGTGCTGCTTCTAGCCGCTACTCAAACAGCCACTTGCCCTGACAGCCCTGCCGGAGGCTACCTAGGGGAAGGTTTTTGCCTCTGTCGTATCGGGGCGTGAGTGCACCTAGCCTGGCACAGGGCGCCGCGCCGAATGGCTGTTCGTGTGTGTGTGTGCGGGCGTCTCTCTGCGTGTGCAGGGATTTTTGTTGGTGCTATTTGCTGGAGAGACACGGAGGGTTTCATTCGCGTGAGTATTTATGCATCGTGCGCAAGTTCACTATGTCCACACTGCACACAAACTACACAAACTACACACACACTACACACACTACACACAGTACACACAAACTACACACGATACACAAACTACACACTATACACACACGATACACACTACACAAACTACACACGATACACACTATACAGACTACACACTATACACACACTACACACACTATACACACTATACAACTATACAGACTATACAACTATACACACACTACACAAACTACACACGCTATACACTATACACACACTGCACACGATACACACTACACAAACTACACACGCTACACACACTACACAAACTACACACGATATACACACTACACAAACTACACACGATATACACACTACACAAACTATACATGATACACACACTACACAAACTACACACTATACACAAACTACACACGATACACACTACACAAACTACACACGCTATACACACTATACAGACTACACACTATACACACTACACAAACTACACACGATACACACACTATACACACTATACAACTATACACTACACACACTACACAAACTACACACAATACACACTATACACACACTACACACGCTATACACTACACAAACTACACAAACTACACACGATACACACTACACAAACTACACACTACACACACTACACACGCTATACACGCTATACACACTACACAAACTACACACGATACACACTACACAAACTACACACGATACACACACTACACACACTATACAACTATACAGACTACACTATACACACACTACACACACTATACAACTATACAGACTACACTATACACACACTACACACACACTACACACACTACACACGATACACACTACACAAACTACACACGCTATACACACTATACAGACTACACACTATACACACACTATACACACTACACACACTATACAACTATACAGACTACACTATACACACTACATACACTATACAACTATACAGACTACACTATACACACACACTACACACTATACACACACTACACACACTATACACACTATACAGACTACACTATACACACACTACACAAACTACACACGCTATACACACTATAGAGACTAGACACTATACACACACTACACAAACTACACACGCTATACACATACTATACAGACTACACACTATACACACACTACACACGCTATACAAACTATACAGACTACACACTATACACACACTACACACACTATACAGACTACACTATACACACACTACACAAACTACACACGCTATACACACACTATACAACTATACAGACCACACACACACTACACAAACTACACACGCTATACACACTATACAGACTACACACTATACACACACTACACACACTACACACACTATACAGACTACACTATACACACACTACACAAACTACACACACTATACAACTATACAGACTACACTATACACACACTACACAAACTACACACACTATACAACTCTACAGACTACACACTATACACACACTATACACACTACACACACTATACAACTATACAGACCACACACACACTACGCACACTATACACACACTACACACACTATACAACTATACACTGTGCAGACTACACTATACACACACACTACACACACTATACAACTATACAGACTACACTCTACACACTACACACACTATACAACTATACAGACTACACACACACACACTACGCACACACTACACACACTACACACACTATACACTATACAGACTACACTATACACACACACTGCACACACTACACACACACTACACACACTACACACACTATACAACTATACAGACTACACTATACACACACACTACACACACTACACACTATACACACACTACGCACACGATACACACACTATATAACTATACAGACTACACACTATACACACTGCACACACACTGCACACACACACTGCACACACACTACACACAGGCTATGCACACACTACACACACTATACATACACTACACACTATACACACACACTACACACATACTACAGACACTACACACTATACAGACTACACTATACACACACACTATACACACTATACAACTATACAGACTACACACTATGAACACACACTACACACACACACTACACACACACACTACACACACACAGTACACACACTGCACACACTAAACACACACTATTCACACACGCTACACACACACACTACACACACTAAACACACACAATCACACGCACGCTCAAAACAACCACAAGCACACACATAACAACCACACGCACACACAAAGACAATCGCACACACACACACACATCGCACACGTACACACACACACACACTACACACACTATACACACACGCTACACACACACACACGTACACACACACTATACGCCCTATACACACACGCTACACACACACACACGTACACACACATACACACTATACGCACTATACACACACACATCGCACACTTACACACACACACTACACACACTATACGCACTATACACACACGCTACACACACACACACGTACACACACACACACTACGCACACTATACACACACACACTACACACGCTACACACACTCACGTACACACACACACACTACGCACACTATACACACACACACACTACACACGCTACACACACACGTACACACAGTCACCAACACTAGACCATACACGTCACCCACTGGAGACCGACAGAACCAGATAGACTGGCGCACTCTCTCCCTCGCTCCCTCCCTCTCTCTGTCACACTCTCCACACCCCCACATTCTCCCCGTGAGTGTGTGTGTGTCTTTGTGTGTCTGTGTGTGTGTCTGTGTGTGTCTGTGTGTGTCTCTGTGTGTCTCTGTGTGTGTGTCTGTGTGTGTCTCTGTGTGTCTGTGTGTGTCTGTGTGTGTCTCTGTGTGTGTCTGTGTGTGTCTCTGTGTGTGTCTCTGTGTGTCTGTGTGTGTCTCTGTGTGTCTGTGTGTGTGTGTCTTTGTGTGTCTGTGTGTGTGTCTTTGTGTGTGTCTCTGTGTGTGTGTCTGTGTGTGTCTCTGTGTGTGTCTCTGTGTGTGTCTCTGTGTGTGTCTCTTTGCATGTCTTTGTGTGTGTCTCTGTGTTTGTCTCTGCGTGGCTCTGTAGTTGTGTGTGTTTGTGTCTCTTTGTGTCTGTTTCTGTGTGTGTCTGTGTGTCAGAGTCTTTGTGTGTGTCCTGTGGGTGTCTCTGTCTTTGTGTATGTCTATGTGTGTCTCTGTGTCTTTGTGTGTGTGTCTCTGAGTCTTTGTATGTGTGTCTTTGTGTGTGTGTGTCTGTGTGCGTGTCTATGTGTATGCGTGTGTCTGTGTGTATCTCCATTTCTTTGTGTGTATCTGTGTGTGTGTCTCGGCTCCAGTTTAACAGCAGAGGTTTCACTCCGAATCAGTCGAGCGGCAATATCTTTTCATCGGTTGCGTAATGCTGTGTGGAAGCTACCTGGTCTGTCGCTCCGCACTAAGCTTCAGGTCTTCTCGGCCACGGTCATTCCCTCCCTTCTCTACGCTTGCGAAACGTGGACCCCCCCTAATGGAACATCTTCGCCGGTTAGAAACATTTAGGCTGGCCTGCCTACGATCCATCCTGGGTTTAGGCTGGATTGTGTGAGGAGCTCACAAATCCTTGAAAGATCTGGGCACGGTCCCATCGGTGAGCTGCTTCCGGCAGGCAAGGCTCCGTTGGCTGGGTCATGTAGCCCGCATGCCCAGCCACCGCATGCCTAAACAGCTTTTGTTCGGCGGGATCGAGGGGATAAACGGGCGCGGCACGGGCTAGAGAAGAGATGGAGTGACGTGGTACAGGAGGACGTGGAGCTGAGTGGACTTGCCGATGACTGGTACCAGCGGTGTCAAGATCGGCCTCTGTGGAGGAGGCTCGTGAAGGATGCTACTGGGCAGTTGGAGGTAGTCGCCCTCCAACAACAACGGAGGGCGGAGGAGCGACGCTCACAATAACGAGCGGAGCGCCGGGTGGCTAAAGCACAGCAGGTTGGCACAGTAGGGGGCACAAGTGGTGCATCAGCCAGTCATCTCAGTCATCTCAGTCAGTCGACCCTTGGCACCTGGGTCTGCCCCGTGACCTCCTGCCAGCGGGCGTTCGACACTTCACGTGGCCTCAATGTGCACATGGCCTGGCACAAGCGTCGTGGTGACGTCACCGCCACTTAGTGGCGAATGGTGGTTGTTCTTGTTGTCGTGTCTCTGTGTGTCTATGTGTGTGTCTCTGTGTGTCTGTGTGTGTGTCTGTCTTTTTGTGTGTGTCTCTGTATCTTTGTGTGTGTGTGTGTGTCTGTGTCTTTTAATAAGATAGTGTTTGAGGCCCCGGCGGGACAGGCGAAACCCCATTTGGCAGAGCCAGGAGACTGAATCCTTACCCTTGGGGTTCCTCCAAAAACCACAAAAAAGCACTACGTGTGGCCACGTGGAATGTTCACTGCGGAGGAGAAGCTGCCACTCTTCTGTCGGGAGCTGGACCGGTACTGCCTGGATTTCTGTGGTAATCAGGAGGTCCGGTGGACTGGCTCTGGCTCCTTCTACCATGAGGGGTGGACAGTCCTCGGCTACTTTGGGCTCGCCTTCCCATAAACCAGAGGCGAGGAGTGGTGGTCGTGGTTTCTTATGCACCCACCGAAGACGAACATCCATGGAGGGATGTAGGCAAGGCCGATCAGTGAGATGCCTTCTATGACCTCCTGTCACAGGTGCTGGCTAAAGTGGCCCCTCGGGATAGAGTCATCACGTTGGGTGACTTCAATGCCCGAGTTGGTCATGATGCTGGCACCTGGTCTGGAGTGATTGGAAGGCATGGGCCAGATCAGCTCAATAACAACGGTAGGAGGCTGCTAGATTTTTGTGCAGCCCATGGGCTTGTAATTACCAACATGCTGTTCCGGCATCGGCGCATCCACACAACATCATGGATGCATGCCGGGTCTAAGCAAGAACATCTGCTGGACTACATAGTGACGGACCAGCAGATGCGAGCCCATGTCCTTTACACCAGGACCTACCGTGGAGCTGATCTGCCCACTGACCATCGACTAGTCATCTGTAAGGTGCGCTGGCCATTTTTCCACTCCGGTGGTGGGTGTACACCATGGACCCCATTCAAACCCTTAGTGGCCTGGTCTCAGCTAGCTGATGAAAGTTGCAAGCGAGAATTTCATCATCGCTTGCGGCTGGGGTTGGCATCGTCCCCTACTCCTCCGGATGGGGAGGAGAAATGGACGAGGCTTAGGACTGTGGCTCATGTGGCTGCAATAGGTACACGGTCCAGACCTCCCCAGAGACCCTGGCTGACAGAGAAGGTGTTCAGGCTGGCTGAGAAAAAGCGACAGGCCCACTCTCATCAGCTACAGCATCCCACGTTGGAGAATGAGGAGGCTTACCGCAGCCTTTGCTTGGAGAGCCGTGAGGCGATGGGTGGTGGTCGCAGGTTGCTGAGGAGATGGAGTCTGCCTCAATGGCCCGCGATCACAAATCGCTCTTTAATGTTATCAAAAAAGTAACCTGCAGCGCCACACCTATCACCATCATTATGGAAAAAAAGCGGTGATCCAATCTTCGACCTCAGGAACAGGTTTGCAGATCTGTTGAGCATTTCTGTGAGGTCATAGGGGAGGGAAAATCCCTCAGCCAGGAAAACATCGTGGCACAAAGTGAGGATGACCCTGCTGAGGCTGCGTTGCCTCAAATATTGGAAGAAGTCACCCCCTGTAAGTGACTGGATGAGGTGCAATATGTTGAGGAAGTTCTGAAGTTGATCCGGGGTCTGAAACCAGGAAAGGCACCGGGCAGAGATGATCTCCCAAGCGTAATGCTGAAGGAGGGTGGTGTTTGTGCACAGACCGCCCTATATGACATCATAACAACAGTCTGGACCACTGGACCGGTTCCGCAGGATTGGAAGGATGCCCTGGTGGTCCCCCTCTTTAAGAAGGGGGACCGCACAGACTGTAACAATTACAGAGGCATCTCACTCCCCAGTGGGCCGGGAAAGGTCCTGGCAAGAATTATTCAACATCGCCTTGCTAGGCACGCTGAGGAGAGGTTTGCGTAGCCCTAATACGGTTACAGGAAAGGCCGGTCATGCACAGATGCCATATTTTCTGTTTGTCTGCTACAGCAGAGGTGTAGGAAATTCTAACAAGACCTACATCTCTGCTTTATTTACCTGGCCAAGGCTTATGATACCATCGGTAGGCCTGGGCTCTGCCTGGTTCTTTGTGCTTTCGGAGTCCCTGACCCTTAGCTCATGATCATTAAGGACCTTCATGATGGTGAGCGGGCCCAGGTAAAACTATGTGGCCGGGAGTCGGAGCCATTCCCTGTACACCTTGGGGTGCGACAGGGATGTCCTCTGGTTCCCACATTATTTCACATCTATTTCGACCATGTAGTTCGTGAAGCCTTCAAAAGCTGTACTGGAGGAATTTATTTCTGGTACAGATACAATGGGAGGCTGATCGATGCCCGGGTGTGGTCAAGGGATGGCTCCCTATTGGTCAACCATGTTATGTGTGCTGATGATCTGGTATTTGCTGCTCACTCAGAGGAGCAGTTGGAGACGCTGCTGCTGAGACTGGAGCTTGCCACTAAGAGTTGGGGCCTTACCATCAGCCCCACCCAAACTAAGCACCTGTCTGGGTATTTTGTCCCATCTGCCACTCCACCCACACAACTCCCAATTAGTGATGGGGCAGTTGTAGAGAGAGTGGAGAGTTTCCCATACCTGGGCAGTGTGCTCATGACCGGCTCCGGTTTAACAGCAGAGGCCTCGCTCCGAATCAGTCGAGCAGCATTATCTTTTCATCAGTTGCGTAACGCTGTGTGGAAGCTACCTGGTCTGTCGCTCCGCACTAAGCTTCAGGTCTTCTCGGGCACAGTCATTCCCTCCCTTTTCTATGCTTGTGAGACATGGACCCCTGTAATTTAAAATCTTCACCAGTTAGAAACATTTAGGCTGGCCTGCCTATGATCCATCCTGGGTTTAACCAGGCTGGATTGTGTGAGGAGCTCACAAATCCTCGAAAGATCTGGACAAAGTCCTATTGGTGAGCTCCTCCGGCTGGCAAGGCTGCGTTGTCCTGGTCATATAACCCACATGCCCAGCCACCGCATGCCTCAACGGCTTTTGTTTGGCCGGATCGAGGGGGCTAAACGGGCGTGGCACGGGCTAGAGAAGAGATGGAGTGACGTGGTACAGGAGGATGTGGAGCTGAGTGGACTTGCCGATGACCGGTACCAGCGGTGTTCAAGATCGGCCTCTGTGGAGGAGGCTCGTGAAGGACGCTACTGGGCAGTTGGAAGCGACGCTCACAACAACTAGCGTAGCGCCGGCTGGCTAAAGAACAGCAATTTGGCACAGTAGGGGGCACAGGTGGTGCATCAGCCAGTCATCTCAGTCATCTCAGTCGACCCGTGGCACCTGGGTCTGCCCCGTGACCTCCTGCTGGCGGGCGTTCGACACTTCACTTGGCCTCAAGGTGCACATAGCCTGGCACAAGCGTCGTGGTGACGTCACCGCCACTTAGTGGTGGATGGCGGTTGTTGTTGTGTGTGTCCGTGTGTCTCTACGCGTCTTTCGCTTGCCCTCCACGTCTTTCCCCCATGTCTCTAACCCTGTCCCCTCTGTCTGTGTGTCTGTGTGTGTCTGTGTGTGTCTTTCTCTCACGCAGGGACAGGGACACCCTGTAGCAGCTGCGGAGACCTCGGCATCACCGCCGCTGACAGACAGACGCTGTCAAACCCACAACCCCAGTGAGACGCGCACACGCACGCACGCGCACACACGCATACACACACCACACACACCACACATACACAGAACCAGCATAGCTACACACACACACACACACGGAGAGAATTAGTATAGCCACATCGAATCCAGACAGCCACACCATAGCCACACACACACACAGACATACACAGACACACACACATCACACACACACATCACACACATCACACGCCCACAGAACTGGTATAGCCACACCACAGCCACGCCTCCGATCAGTGTGGTTGGTTGCCTCCGTATGGAGGGGAAGAAGTTGAACACAACAACAACAACAACAACCGCCGTTCGCCACTAAGTGACGGTGACGTCACCGACGGCGCCTGTGCCAGGATAGGTGCACGTTGAGGCCACGTGAAGTGTGTTGAAGGCTCGCTGCTGGCAGGAGGTCACTGGACAGACCCTGCAGGTGCCAAGGGTCCACTGACTGAGATGAGCGGTAGATTCATCATCACCACCACCTGTGCCCCCTACTGTGCCAACCCGCTGTGCTTTAACCACCCGGCGCTCCGCTCGTTGTTGTGAGCATCGCTCCTCAGCCCTCCGTTGCTGTTGCCGGAGGGGCGACTGCCTCCAACCGCCCCAGTAGCCTCACTGTTTACCTAATCTGGCACTGCCCAGTAGCAGCAGCGAGCCTCCTCCTCCACAGAGGCCGATCTTGACACCGCTGGTACCGGTCATCGGCAAGTCCACTCAGCTCCACGTCCTCCTGTACCACATCACTCCATCTCTTCTCTAGCCCGTGCCGTGCCCGTTTACACATACAAGACAAGACAAAGATCCCCCGTGTAGCCTTAACAGACTGTTGAGGCAAGTGCTGTTAGCGAGCACCTATGAAGGCCGGCACGGCACACGAGGGAGTGGGTGGCCAACACCACATACACACACACAGGCATACACACACAGAACAGGCATAGCTACACACACCAGACTCACACACACACCACATACACAACACACCCACAGAACAGGCATATACACAACACACACACAGAACAGGAATAGCTACACACACCACACTCACACACACACACACCACATACACACACAGGTAAGGGGGAGGAGGAGGTGAGGGGGGAGGAGTGGGGGAGGAGGGGGAAGGAGGAGCAGGTGTCGGGGGGGGGGGGGAGATGGGAGTCTGGCTCTCAGCACAGCTTGGGATGTGGAGAGAGTGGAGAGAGACATGTGGAGAGTGGAGAGAGAGTGGAGAGAGTGGAGCAAGAGGAGAGATAGTGGAGAGAGAGTAGAGAGAGTGGAGCGAGAGGAGAGAGAGTGGAGAGAGAGTGCAGAGAGAGAGTGGAGAGAGTGGAGAGTGGAGAGAGAGTGGAGAGAGAGTGGAGAGAGACATGAGGAGAGAGAGGAGAGAGTGGAGAGAGAGATTTGGAGAGTGGAGAGAATGGAGAGAGAGTGGAGAGAGAGTGGAGAGAGAGTGGAGAGAGAGTGGGGAGAGAGAGGAGAGAGTGGAGAGAGAGTGGGGAGAAAGAGGAGAGAGTGGAGAGAGAGTGGAGAGAGAGTGAAGCGAGAGAGAGTGTTTAGAGAGTGTTTAGAGAGTGTTTAGAGTGTTTAGAGAGTGTTTAGAGAGAGTTTAGAGAGTGTTTAGAGAGAGTGAGTGAGTGAATCGGCGTTGCTGTGGTAGGCGCTCTCCAAGCCAGAATCGGGCGCTCACCATATCGGCGTGCCGGAGACTCCAGCAACACCGCTGCTACCGTCGCCATCGTCGTTGAGAAGAGGACGAGGAGTGGGGGAGGAAGAGGAGGGGGAGCGTACGGAGGGGTTGGAAGAGGTGGACGAGGTGGTGGTGGTGGTGGAAGCGGGAGCTGAGGAGGTAAGGGATGTGGGTGGCACATTCATGTGTGTGAGGTCAGAGTGCGCTCACCCGCACACTCGACAACAACAACAACAACAACCGCCATTAGCCATTAAGTGGCGGTGACGTCACCACGAGGCTTGTGCCAGGTCATGTGCACCTTGAGGCCACGTGAAGTGTCAAACGCCCGCTGGGCAGGAGGTCACGGGGCAGACCCAGCAGGTGCCACGGGTCGACTGACTGAGATGACTGGCTGATGCACCACCTGTGCCCCCTACTGTGCCAACCTGCTGTGCTTTAGCCACCCGGCGCTCCGCTCATTGTTGTGAGCGTCGCTCCTCCGCCCTTCGTTGTTGTTGGAGGGCGACTGCCTCCAACTGCCCAGTAGCAGCGTCCTTCACGAGCCTCCTCCACAGAGGCCGATCTTGACACCGCTGGTACCGGTCATCGGCAAGTCGACTCAGCTCCACGTCCTCCTGTACCACATCACTCCATCTCTTCTCTGGCCCATGCCGTGCCCGCTTAGCCCCCTCAATCCGGCCAAACAAAAGCTGTTTTGGCATGCGGTGGCTGGGCATGCGGGCTACATGACCCAGCCATCGCAGCCTTGCCTGCCGGAGGAGCTCACCGATGAGACTGTGTCCAGATCTTTCAAGGATTTGTGAGCTCCTCACACAATCCAAGCCCGCAGGTGAGAAACCCAGGATGGATCGTAGGCAGGCCAGCCTAAATGTTTCTAACCGGCGAAGATGTTCCATTAGGGGGGTCCACGTTTCGCAAGCGTAGAGTTGGGAGGGAATGACCGTGGCGAGAAGACCTGAAGCTTAGTGCCGAGCGACAGACCAGGTAGCTTCCACACAGCGTTACGCAGCCGATGAAAGGATAATGTCGCTTGACTGATTCGGAGTGAGACCTCTGCTGTCAAACCGGAGCTGATCATGAGCACATTGCCCAGGTATGGGAAACCCTCCACTCTCTCCACAACTGCCCCATCACCGATTGGGAGTTGTGGGGGTGGAGTGTCCGATGGTGCTTATTTCTTGTGGGGCTGATGGCAAGGCCCCACCTGTTAGTGGCACGCTCCAGGTTCAGCATTAGCCCCTCCAACTCCTCCTCTGAGTGAGCAGCAATTACCAGATCATCGGCATACATAACGTGGTTGACCAACAGGGAGCCATCCCTTGACCGCACCCAAGCGTCGATCAGCCTCCCATTGTACCTGTAATTCCTACGGTACAGCCAGAGGACATCCCTGTCGCACCCCAAGGTAAACAGTGAATTCCTCTGACTTCCGGCCATGTAGTTTTACCCGGGACCGCTCACCATCATGAAGATCCTTAATGATCGTGAGCAGAGAGTCAGGGACTCCAAAAGCACGAAGAACAACCCACTGCCCAGGCCTACTGATGGTATCATAGGCCTTGACCAGGTCAAGAAAGCAGAGATGTAGGTCTTGTTGGAATTCCCTACACCTCTGCTGTAGCAGACAGACAGAAAATATGGCATCTGGGCAGGACCGCCCTTTCCTGAAACCGCATTGGGGCTCCGCAAGCCTCTCCTCAGCGTGCCTGGCAAGGCGATGTTGAATAATCTTTGCCAGGACCTTTCGCGGCACGCTGAGGAGTGAGATGCCCCTGTAGTTGTTACAGTCTGTGTGGTCCCCCTTCTTAAAGAGGGGGACCACCAGGGCATCCTTCCAATCCTGTGGAACCCGTTAAGTGTTCCAGACTGTTATTGTGATGTCATATAGGGCAGTCTGTGCACAAACGCCACCCTCCCTCAGCATTTCGCTTGGGAGATCATCTCTGCCCGCTGCCTTTCCTGGTCTCTGGATCGCCTTCAGTACTTTGGATCGCCTTCAGTACTTCCTCAGCAGCTGGCACGTCAGCCAGCCACTCACATGGGGTGACTTTTTACAATATTTGAGGCACCGCAGCCTCAGCAGGGTCATCCCCAATTTGTGCCACGATGTTTTCCTGGCTGAGGGATTTTCCCTCCCCTAGGACCTCACAGAAATGCTCAGCAAATCTGCAAACCTGTTCCTGGGGGTCGGAGATTGGATCACCATTCTTTCCCCCAATGATGGCAATAGGTGTGATGTAGTTAAAGACAGATTTGTGATCACGAGCCACTGAGGCAGACTCCATCTCCTCAGCAACCCGCGACCACCACCCATCCTTGCAGCGCCTCACGGCTCTCCGAACCTCTGAGCGAAGGCTGCGGTACGCCTCCTCATTCTCTGACTTGGGATTCTGTAGCCGATGACAGTGGGCCTTTCGCTTTTTCTCAACCATCCTGAACACCTCCTCTGTCAGCCAGGGTCTCTGGGGACGTCTGGACCGCATACCCAAAGCAGCCATTGCAGCTGCATGAGCCACAGTTCTAAATCTCGCCCATTTACCCTCGACATCAGGAGGAGTGGGGGATGATGCCAACCCCAGCTGCAAGCGATGTTGAAATTATTGCTTGCAACTTTCATCAGCTAGCTCAGACCAGGCCATTATGGGTTTGAATGGGATCCTGGGTGTACACCCACCACCGGAGTGGAAGAATGGCAGCCGCATCTTACAGACGACAAGCCGATGGTCAGTGGGCAGATCAGCTCTACGGTAAGTCCTGGTGTAAAGGACATGGGCCCACATCCGCTGTTCCGTCACTATGTCTTCCAGCATCATGACCAACTCGGGCATTGAAGTCACCCAACAAGATGACTCTATCCCGAGAGGCCACTTTAGCCAGCACCTGTGACAGGAGGTCATAGAAGGCATTGACTCATCGGCCTTGCCTGCATCCCTCCACGGATGTTCGTCTTCGGTGGGGGCATAAGTAACCACGACCACCACCACTCCTCACCTCCGGTTGATGGGAAGGCGAGCCCAAAGTAGCCTGGGGCTTACAGCTTCCCACACCTCACCGCCACGCTCCCACGCCCCCTTCATTATTTTGTTCAAAAGAAGAGCCACACCCTGTTGTTTGGCAGTCTCCTGCCCCGAGTAGAGGACTGTCCACCCCTCATGGTGATAGGAGCCAGAACCGGTCCACCGGACCTCCTAAATAACACAGAGATCCAGGCGGTACCGGTCCAGCTCCCGACAGAGGAGTGGCAGCCTCTCCTCCGCAGTGAACGTTCGAACATTCCACGTGGCCACACGAAGTGGCTTTTTGCTGTTTCTGGAGGAACCCCAAATGGGGTTTGGCCTGGAGACGTCATTGGACGCCTGTCCGCCCGGGACCTCCGGTACAAACTTGGTTAGATTTATATTTTGCGGTTTAGTGGTACTTGTATTGAAGGTGGAGAGGTTACCAGCCCCTCACACCCGTCCAGAGCCCACACGCCACTGCGCTCCACAACGCTGCCATCTGGCACCAACGTGGAGGTCGGGGGTTGTTTGTTTTGCCGGACACCCACACGCTCGCCCACACGCTCACCCACTCGCTCGCTCACCCACACGCTCGCCCACACGCTCGCCCACACGCTCGCCCACACGCTCACCCACTCGCTCGCTCACCCACACGCTCGCCCACACGCTCCCCCACACGCTTGCCCACACGCTCACCCACTCGCTCACCCACACGCTCACCCACTCGCTCGCTCACCCACACGCTCGCCCACACGCTCGCCCACACGCTTGCCCACTCGCTCACCCACTCACTCACTCACATGCTCACCCACACGCTCACCCACACGCTCACCCACTCGCTCACCCGCACGCTCACCTACACGCTCACCCCCCCATAACGTGAATCCCGCTCTCCCCCTCTCTCCTCCTTCCCCCTGCCCCCACCTTCTTCAGCTCCCCTCCCACCTCCTCCCCAGGTGTGGCCGTGCTGCGATGCCACACCTGGGCCGTGCCACCCTCCTGGGGCAGCAGCAGCAGCAGCAGCACCACAACAACAACAACCACAACCACCATAACCACCACCACCACAACCACCACCACCTCCTCCCACCTCTTCCACCGGCGCCAGGCGGTGGAGTTGGCGGTGCCGCCGGCGGCAGCGGCGGCGGCGGCGCCGGTGGGCCACCGCCATTACCACCGCCCACCTTACCCCACCACCACCACCACCACCACCACCTCCCGCCACACCACGCGGCCGACGACCTGGGAGCCGTGGACGAGATGCTCCCCTTCAAGGACGAGGGCGACGAGGGGGGCGAGGAGGAGGGCGGCGGCGACGGCGGCCGCGGCGGCGGCCGCGGCGGCGGCGGCGGCGGCGGCGGCGGCGGCCGCGGCGGGGGGCCAGGGGGTCACGGCCACGGCGGTGGCGGCCCCGGGGGAGCGGACGGGGAGCTGGCTGACGTCAAAAGCTCCCTCGTCAACGAGTCGGAGAGCCGGCGGGAGGGAGAGCCGGGGGGCGGCGGAGTCGGGGAGGGAGGAGCTGTGGGCGGAGTCCGCGCCGGTGGAGTGGGATCGCAGAGCGCGCAGGTGAAGAACGTTGGAGCACTGCCCGCTCGTGAACCCGCTCGGTCGTTCAGTCGCCCGCTCGCAACCGTTCGTCAAGCGGACCACTCGGTCGCCCGCCCGCTCACTCACCCACTCACTCACCCGCTTACTCGCTTACTCTCTCACCCACTCACTCACCCACTCAGTCACTCGCTAGCTCACCCGCCTGCTCACCCGCTCACTCACACACCCACTCACCCGCTTACTCGCTTACTCTCTCACCCGCTCGCTCGCTCACCCACTCAGTCACTCGCTAGCTCACCCGCCCGCTCGCTCACCCGCTCACTCACCCACTCACTCACTCACACATCCACTCAGTCACTCGCTCGCCCACTCGCTCACCTGCCCACTCGCTCGCTCGCTCACCCGCTCACTCACACACCCACTCAGTCACTCGCTATCTCACCCGCTCGCTCACCCGCCCACTCGCTCACCCGCTCACTCACTCGCTCGCTCACTCACTCGCTCACCCATTCACTCACTCAGCCGCTCATCCATTCACTCACCCGCTTGCTCACTCACTCACTCACTCGCTCGCTCATCCGCTCACTCATCCATTCACTCGCTCACTCACTCGCTCACCCATTCACTCGCTCGCTCACTCACTCACCCATTCACTCGCTCACCCACTCACGCATTCACCCGCTCGCTCGTCCACTCACTCACCCACTCACTCACTTACCCACTCACTCGCTCGCCCACTCACCCGCTCGCTCACTCACTCACTCACTCGCTCATCCGCTCACTCATCCATTCACTCACTCACTCACTCGCTCACCCTTCACTCAATCACCCATTCACTCGCTCACCCACTCACCCACTCACCCACTCACCCATTCACCCATTAGCTCATCCACTCACTCACTCACTCACCCACTCACTCACTCACTCGCTCGCCCACTCAGTCGCTCGCCCACCCGGTCGCCCACCCACCCGCTCACTCGGTAAAATAAAAATAATTTAAGCCGAGGTGCTGCTGCTCACCGACTTAGTACCAGCTGCTTGCCCCTACAGTCTGTGGTGAGGCTACATGGGGCGTGTTTTTGTCTTTATCTTTGCCAGGCGAGGCGACACTCGGCTGACGTGTTTGGAGACAAAGGGAGCCACTTCCTGAGTGAAGGTGAGGAGGGGGGGTGGAGGGGGGCGAAGAGCGGTGGGGTGGGCGGGCTAGGTGACCGTAACTCCCTCGCCCGGTACGCAGGAGGTCGTGGGTTCGATCCCGTGACCCTGACCGATTGCCCTGCTGCTGCTGTATATTTGGAGTCTGCGTCTCTCTCTCATCATCATGGTGGCTAAGAGATATTAACTACCTCGCCCGGTACGCAGGAGGTCGTGGGTTCGATCCCGTGACCCTGACGATACTGCTGCTGCTGCTGTATATTTGGAGTTTGCGTGTCTCTCTCTCATCATCATCACGGTGGCTAGGAGATGTTGACTACCTCGCCCGGTACGCAGGAGGTCGTGGGTTCGATCCCGTGACCCTGACGATGCTGCTGCTGCTGCTGTATATTTCGAGTCTGTGTCTCTCTCTCTTTCTCTCCCGGTGATTTTTCTCCGGGATCCTCCGGTTTTCCCCCCCGCTCCACGTTTCGAATCAACGTCTCGACGCCTTCGGGGTAATTTGCCTGCCGCTGTAAGTTTCCACGTGACGGTGATGACGATGATGCCAGCCACTTGTTTGAGCTGCTCTCGTTTGCCGTGGCCAGTTCACTTATGGCAAATAGTTACAGAGCTCAGTTGGGACCTTGCTTGGTAAAAATAAAAAATAGTTTAGTTCAGTCTTGGGGGGGGGGTACCCTTTGGTTATTTTGGTAAAGTCGCGTAGCTGTAAAGTAAAATAAATGAAATCACGACGTTTGGATTTACCGAAAGAACCAAGAATGATAATTTTATTGTTTTACAATAATTTTATATATTTATCATTTTTATTGTTTCCCTTCTAACGTGGTGGTGACTTTAACAGAAAGAACCAAGAATATGAATCCCTGCAGTCACGAAAGCTTTAAATCAAAATTCAATACAAGGCAGTTAGGGTTTTACCTGGTTAATAACATCCTTCCAATGATTGCTCAATTCGTATCCATCTTCTTTGTTGTGTCTACGTGGTGACTTTACCGAAAGAACCAAAGACTATCGATCCCTGCAGTCACGAAAACTTAAAATCAAGACAGTCTGCGGGTCTCTGTGTATCTCTCTGTTGGTTGCTATGGATCTATTTGCGTTTCTATGGGTCGCCCTAAATGTCTCTTTGCGTTCGGATGATTACTTGGCTGCTGCTATGAATTATTTCTGAATCTCTGTGCCTGTTATGTATCCATGTACAGTGAGGGAAAAAGGTATTTGATCCCCTGCTGATTTTGTACGTTTGCCCGCTGACAAAGAAATGATCATTCTGTAGTTTTAATGGTAAATTTATTTGAACGGTGAGAGACAGAATAACAACAACAAAAAATCCAGAAAAACGCATGTCAAAAATGTTATAAATTGATTTGCATTTTAATGAGGGAAATAAGTATTTGACCTCTCAATCAGAAATATTTCTGGCTCCCAGGTGTCTTTTATACAGGTAACGAGCTGAGATTAGGAGCACACTCTTAAAGGGAGTGCTCCTAACCTCAGCTCGTTACCTGTATAAAAGACACCTGTCCACAGAAGCAATCAATCAATCAGATTCCAAACTCTCCACCATGGCCAAGACCAAAGAGCTCTCCAAGGATGTCAGGGACAAGATTGTAGACCTACACAAGGCTGGAATGGGCTACAAGACCATTGCCAAGCAGCTTGGTGAGAAGGTGACAACAGTTGGTGCGATTTTTCGCAAATGGAAGAAACACAAAAGAACTATCAATCTCCCTCGGCCTGGGGCTCCATGCAAGATCTCACCTCGTGGAGTTGCAATGATCATGAGAACGGTGAGGAATCAGCCCAGAACTACACGGGAGGATCTTGTCAATGATCTCAAGGCAGCTGGGACCATAGTCACCAAGAAAACAATTGGTAACACACTACGCCATGAAGGACTGAAATCCTGCAGCGCCCGCAAGGTCCCCCTTCTCAAGAAAGTACATATACATGCCCGTCTTAAGTTTGCCAATGAACATCTGAATGATTCAGGGGACAACTGGGTGAAAGTGTTGTGGTCAGATGAGACCAAAATGGAGCTCTTTGGCATCAACTCAACTCGCCGTGTTTGGAGGAGAAGGAATGCTGCCTATGACCCCAAGAACACCATCCCCACCGTCAAACATGAAGGTGGAAACATTATGCTTTGGGGGTGTTTTTCTGCTAAGGGGACAGGACAACTTTACCGCATCAAAGGGACGATGGACGGGGCCATGTACCGTCAAATCTTGGGTGAGAACCTCCTTCCCTCAGCCAGGGCATTGAAAATGGGTCGTGGATGAGTATTCCAGCATGACAATGACCCAAAACACACGGCCAAGGCAACAAAGGAGTGGCTCAAGAAGATGCACATTAAGGTCCTGGAGTGGCCTAGCCAGTCTCCAGACCTTAATCCCATAGAAAATCTGTGGAGGTAGCTGAAGGTTCGAGTTGCCAAATGTCAGCCTCGAAACCTTAATGACTTGGAGAAGATCTGCAAAGAGGAGTGGGACAAAATCCCTCCTGAGATGTGTGCAAACCTGGTGACCAACTACAAGAAACGTCTGACCTCTGTGATTGCCAACAAGGGTTTTGCCACCAAGTACTAAGTCATGTTTTGCAGAGGGGTCAAATACTTATTTCCCTCATTAACATTTTGGATTTTGTTGTTATTCTGTCTCTCACTGTTCAAATAAACCTACCATTAAAATTATAGACTGATCATTTCTTTGTCAGTGGGCAAACGTACAAAATCAGCAGGGGATCAAATACTTTTTTTCCCTCACTGTACCATCGTCCTCACCAAACCAAGCACCTGCCTGGGTATTTAGTACCATCAGACACCCATACCTGGGCAGTGTGCTTATGAATGGCTCCAGTTTGACAGCAGAGGTCTCACTCCGAATCAGTCGAGCGGCAATATCTTCTCATCATTTGTGCAACGCTGTGTGGAAGCTACCTGGTCTGTCGCTCCGCACTAAGCTTCAGGTCTTCTCAACCACAGTCATATGCTCCCTTAATGGAACATCTTCGCTGGCTAGAAATATTCAGGCTGGCCTGCCTACCATCCATCCTGGGTTTAACCAGGCTGGATTGTGTGAGGTCACAAATCCTTGAAAGATCTTGCAAAAGTCCCATCGGTGAGCTCCTCCGGCAGGCAAGGCTGCGTTGGCTGGGTCATGTAGCCCGCATGCCCATCCACCGCGGCACGGGCTAGAGAAGAGATGCAGTGATGTGGTACAGGAGGATGTGGAGCTGAGTGGACTTGCCGATGACTGGTACCAGCGGTGTCAAGATCGGCCTCTGTGGAGGAGGCTCGTGAAGGACACTACTGGGCAGTTGGAGGTAGTCGCCATCCAACAACAACGGAGGGCGGAGGAGCGACGCTCAGAACAACGAGCGGAGCGCTGGGCAGCTAAATCACAGTAATTTGGCACATTAGGGGGGCACAGGTGGTGCATCAGCCAGTCATCTCAGTCAGTCGACCCGTGGCACCTGGGTCTGCCCCGTGACCTCCTGTCAGCGGGCGTTCGACACTTCACGTGGCCTCAAGGTGCACATAGCCTGGCACAAGCGACGTGGTGACGTTGTGTGTGTGTCTGTGTATCTATGGGTATCTCTGTGTGTCTG